TTCCTGCCTTCAGCTCCCCTCTCGACTCTCTTCCCCCTTCTCGCTCCCTCCCATCCCTCCCCTCACCCTGACCATTTCCCCCCTCCTCGCTCCCTCCCCTCCCCTCACCTGACCATTTCCCCCCTGCTCGGGTCATGACCCAACTGTGCAGCGCCTTGGGACGTCCTCCTGACGTGAAAGGCGCTTTATAAATGGAATCTTGTTGTTGTTGTTGTTGTTTGAGCCAGGTCTCCGTTACTGCCATTGCATCATAACCCCATTTGGCAACTTGAGCCGCAGATCACCAATCTTATTTGTCACACTCTGTGCATTTACACACATGCACTCCAAGACCAACTGAGTCTGTTGTGCATTTCTCCCCCGTCTAATCTCTTTTTCTGTATTATTCCTTAATATATTGCGATTCATCTCTCCCAGCCCTCTATGTAACTTGTTTGTCCTCTCTAATACTACATCCTGATTCACTTCCCCCCTCAAAATTAGTTTAAACCCTTCCCCACAGCACTAGTTAACCTCCCTGCGAGGACATTGGTCCCAGCTCTGTTCAGGTGTAACCCATCCACCTTGTACAGGTCCCACCTGCCACAGAACTGGTCTCAACGATCCAGGAATCAGAAGTCCTCCTTTCTGCACCATTTCTCCAGCCATGTATTCATGTGTTTCATCCTGCTGTTTTGATACTCACTTGCACGAGGTACTGGGTATAATCCAGAGATTACAACCTTTGAGGCTGTCATCACTCCTATCCTTAAAAATCCTTCCCTGGACCCTTCTCTATTCCTTAACTACCGCCCCATCTCCAACCTCTCCTTCCTCTCCAAAGTCCTGGAACAAGTTGTTGCTTCTCAGCTTTGCTCCTTCCTCTCCTGCCAATCCCATCTCGAACCCCTCCAATCGGGCTTCCGTACCACCCACAGCACAGAAACTGCCCTCATCAATGTGACAAATGACATTCTGTCCATCTGTGACCAGGGCTCCTTCTGCCTCTGCATCCTCTTTGACCTCTCTGCTGCTTTCGACACCGTCGACCACTCTATCCTCATCCATCTCCTCTCCTCTCACCTCAACCTGCAGCTCAGTGGTTAGAGCACTCGCATTGCAAGCGAGACACTTGGGTTCAATTCCAGGCAGGGCGAAACGTTGAGCAAGTTTCCTTACTCCACACGCCTAATAGTAACCCCTCCAAAACAAAACAATAATAAATTGATCATTTTCAATCCACGACTGTTTGTGGGATACTGCTGTGCGCAATTGGCTGCCGCATTTTGTCCACAAATATATAGTCAATTCACTTTACAGCATATTCTGTGAAGTGCTTTGAAACGTCGAGAAGACGTGAAAAGCGCTATATCAAATGCAAGGATTATTATTGTTATTATAATTCCATAGCAATGTCCTTGATTGGTTCAGATCATACCTCTCACACCGCCTGCACTTCATCTCCTCAAATGGCTTTTCCTCTAGCCCCCGCACTGTCTCATGTGGTGTTCCTCAGGGCTCTGTCCTTGGTCCCCTCCTCTTCAATATCTATATGCTCCCTCTTGGTGATATCATCCGCAGACATGGGGTCAACTTCCACATATATGCGGATGACACCCAACTCTACCTCTCTGCCTCCACCCTTGACTCCAGTACAACTGCTGTCCTGATAGAATGTACCTCCTGATTGGCTCCCATTAGTGCCTCCTCACCTCAGGCGCTGACAGCATCTCCATCTATGGTTGCACACTCCACCTTGCTAAGCCAGTCCGGAAACTTGGGGTCTTGTTTGACCCTCAACTATCCTTTCTACCCCACATCTGCGCCATGACCTGCTCTGCCTTCCCCCACCTCCATAACATCACATGGCTCCGACACTGTCTCACAGGCCATCAAAACCCTCATACATGCCTTCATTACATCAAGGCTCGATTATGCAAACTCACTGTTTGTCGGCCTCCCCAACTCCTCCCTCCATAGGCTGCAGATCATCCAGAACTCTGCAACCTATGTCCTCCCCTGCACCAGGCTCCGCAACCCTATCACCCCCATCCTTGCCAAATTCTACTGGCTTCCCATCACACAGAGGATACAGTTCAAGATCCTGCTCCCCCCCACCTCTTAGACCTTCTAACCCCTTAACACCCTGTTCGCTCCCTCTGCTTAGCGGGCTCCGACCTGCTTCACGTCCCCCGCCTTATTCCCCCACTATTGGCGGGCAGGCCTTTTGCCATTCTGCACCCATGCTCTGGAACTCCATCCCACAGTCCCTCTGTCTCACCCCCTCCCTCGCCACCTTCAAGACCCACCTTAAGACCCTCCTCTTTGACCGTGCCTTCGATCTCCCTGCTTCCCCTCCTGTCCTCCACCCTCCACCCCCTGACCCCCAGCTCGGGTTTGTAACTCTTGTCTGTCCAGTGCCTTGGGATGTCCTCCAGACATGAAAGACGCTTTACAAATATAATTTTGTTGTTTTGTTGTTGTTGAGGTTCCATTTGTTACCTTTTTCCCTAGCTTCTGATACTCTCCCTGTAGGATCTCAGCCCTTTTCTTCCCTACATCATGGATCCCAACATGGACCACGAATTCTGGATGTTCCCCTTCCCCCTGTAGAATATTTTGCATCCGTTCCATGATGTCTTCAACCCTGGCACCAGAGAGGCAACATACCATGTGGGAATTACGTCTTTGTTTGCAGAAACGCCTGTCTACTCTTTTCACCATTGTGTCCCCAATTGACACCCTTCCCTGCGTCCCCCTGTGCATCCATTTACTTTTGACCCAGAGGTGTCATCTCCCTGACCAGTATTTAGTACAGAGAACCGGTTTGTGAGTGCCACACTCTCAGGGGATTTCTGCACTCCCCTCTTCCTACCATGCTGGGTGGTCACCCACTTACTCTCCTCTGAACCCTCTGTGGCTGTGCGGTGACCACCTCCTGAAACGTTCGATCCATGAACTCTTCAGCCTCCCATATGCTATGTAGTGACACCATCCTCTCCTCGAGCTCAGAAACTCTGAGCTCAAGCTCAAGGAGTCGAGGCACTTCCTACATATGTATCTGTCTAGGGCACACAAAGCATTCTCGAGTTCCTACATAGGACGTGTTGTGCATGCAACCGGTCTCAGATGCTCTGCCATATTCCCAGACATGTTTTATATCATTTTAATATAACTTATATATAACTTGTATAATATAACTTATATATAGGCCTTATACCAGCAAATTACAGAAAACGTGGAATAGCAGAAGTTTCCTTTGGTATCTCTATGGCTGTCTATTTGTCTTAATTCTGTTAGAATTCTTCATTTACTCAACAAAAGAACAGCTCATGGTTTCATACTCGACTTAGATCCAGAGCAAGTCCAAACACTACAAATAAACTTTTGAACATGATCTTTGAAAAGGCACGTAAATGAAAGAATATATGAAAAACAATTAAAGCATAAAAGAATAGTTTCAAGTACTGTGAAATGATTATTCACCATCTGCTGAAGTAATTTTCTTAAATAAAACATTTTGATTTACCATTTTCTTTTGAGCTATTGTAGAACAGAAGATGATTTCTTTCATTCAATGACATTGTAACAAAACTAAATTAATTATAATCATAACAAAGAAAACAAACCTACTAAGAGATAAAATACAGACGTTTTGAAATAACAAACCCGATCAGGAACTTACCAAATGTTTCAAGAACTTGTTCACTTTTATTACATTTCATAATCAATCACAGATTAAAAGCAAGGTTGAATAATAGTCTTCAAAAATGCAATACTGTCTCAAAATTCCATACCTTTCATTATCTCTCATTTCATAACTTGAAACATTTAGCATGTTGCCTCAATTGTATGCCATATTGTTACTGTTTAACCTGGGAGTTAAATGGTTGTTTCATGCTTAGATAAGGAAACATGTTCAGACTTGCAATAAATAGGTAACAATATAAACAGAAAAATGTCAAAGCAAATAATTGTTTGTTCAGTTATACTAACACAATGGAACATTACTTAGGTTTAACAGCTAAATGGGGGTCGGTTATGTCCGATTAATAACATTTACTTTGATCTAACTGAGCAACACACTAACTGCTTTTTCACTATTATCTTTAAAAAGGGCACCATCGTCATGAGAAAGAGTTTGCCAAATATATTTCAATCAGGATAATATTCTTAATATAGTCTTTTTAAGCATTGCAAGTAATTAATTACATTTGAAAGAAACATATTTTGTCTAGAGAGCCTTAAGCAAATGCCAGACAGGATGAGGCAGAACCAACCACTATTATTAAGACAATTCAAATTTCTCAGTCAGTACATGGATATGTATTTCAGGGAAATATTTTTACAAGAAGAAATCCAGATATAAAGAAGCATAAAAACATCAGACACCTAAAGGATGAGCATTTGGAGCAACCCAAAGACAAAATCTACAGAAAAAGATTCATGATGGATAAATCTTTTTGTATTAGCTGAGAATGTTGTCTAACAAAGTCAAATGGTCTAACATTCATCATTTCGCAATTCATGATTGCAGGGGTGGGGGGTGGAGCTTTCAAGGATCTGGACTGATATATTCAAACGGAATGGATATGGTGTGGAGCAAAAATTGCTTTAAGATACCTAATATGCAGTATTGACTAATTCAGCTTGAGGTACAGAGAGGCCTCAGAAGAGTTGGCCTGCTATGGTTACAGACATGGCCATATTATTATACTATATGCATTCCACATGGATAGCAACTTTGTGGTATTTTGTCAAATAAGTGGCAGCGGCTTCAGAGGGAATTAGCAGAACAAGGGAGAGTCATTATCAAGAAGTGCTCTAAATTACTGCAAAATAAATATGGATTGTGAGCTTCCAGGATTAACATACGTTTCTGGCAGCTGTTGAGATAATACCACCATCCCCTTTGGGTGTAACTAGATAAACGCTGGGCTTGCCAAAAAAGCTACACTTCATAACATATAGCAAAATAATTTATTTGTTAAAGAGTGAACAATTTTTGAAAGTTACCAGTGCATATTTAATACTCGTTATAAATACATTTCAACTATGAATAACATTTTTAATAATGTAACAATGGTCTACTATATTGTAATGCATTGCGTAACACTACTAAATATAATGAAATCAATTTCTTTTTTGCAATAATAATGAGTACATCCCCTGGAATTCCTACAAGAATTTATAGCCCTTACAATTAAAGTTCATTGACAGACACACCTGAACTAAATGGTTGAATTGTATACCCCTTACATATTCATACAGGTGCTAAATATCCAACATTTATTGAGTACCATAAAGTTAAAATATGCCTGTGCAATGAAGTTTAGGCACATAATAGTGCAAGGTTTGCCCTGAATCTGATGCAAAAACTTCAGAAATTCCCTTTCATAAAATGCAACAGTTTATAATTGTGATAAGGCAGATAGATTTGAACTTAAAAATACACTGACAAGAAGATTTCACTCATACAGCAATTAAAAGTACATTTCTGTGGGATTACAAATGAACAATTATGCATAAATTGCAATAGTAAACTTGTCCTTTAATCTATTTTTTCATATGACACATACTAACTAAACAATTTGGATTGCAAAACTACAAAAAAAATGAAGCTAGTGTTGTATTAATTTAGAAAAACATATCTGCTCAACCAATAATTCCAGGTAAGTCTGCATGTAAGTCATTCAATTTAATTTATGTTCTTTATTGATGTTTTATTTGTCATTGCACAGCAATGTTGTCCTATAGTCTGTTGACTGATTCTGTACATTGATATTTGTAACAAGGTTTGTTGCAGTTTTAAGAAAAACACAAAGCTACAATGCGTAGAAAAAAAACGTAACTGTTAATGTATTTTGAATACCCTATCAAACCAGCAAAATGTCAATTTTACAGACTTAAAGGGACTATTTTAAGAGTTGAGCTTCAAAGAATAATGACCTGTATATTTTTCTTCTTCCTACAGCACCAACGTAGTAAACTATAACTAGTTTAACATTATCTGAAAATCAAAATCATGTGTGCTTGATTTATGTCAATTGTTTGCTCTACTTATGTTATAATGCTGCTTTTTACTTTGCAACAACATACAGGTCATAAATACTGTAAGCACCTATTAAACAGTAATAGCTCAGAATACACAAGGGAACTGAACAAATGAAACAGCACATTTATAAAAAAATAATGTAGGATGGTTATACCCCTGATAAACATGCATTTGTTTGCACAATGGACAGCACCAGAAAATATAAGTGCAATTTCCTAAATTCCCTTTTATCTCCAAAACCTTATCAAATGCAAAATATCTTACAGAAACAATATACAAACAACCATCTCAAATTGTTCTCATTTACTCAATAGGGTATTTTTAACACCAATTTTAATTAACAGGTGAATTCTGTTGTGGTTTCTTTAAAAAAAATTCTCAATATTTGTGGACAAGACTATTAATCACAGATGGTTTGTAAAGTAAGGCGCATTAAGATGGTATGACATGCAGTTATTTCTGACATAGGATGGAAAGTACAAAACAAGTAACCATTAACATGGAGTATAGGTAATTTTTGTTCCCTTTTATGTCTTTCTGACCTTGCAGATTCTGTTCTATCTTTCTTCCTCAAAACTCTGCTACTTGTGTATTCACTTTGGCTGATAATGGAAGTTAATCAGTGCAATAACATACCGCTACAAATACCCATATATTTACACAACCCTTACCAAAATTACTTGTATTGTGATTACAGCACATATTCACCTTATTTTCCTGATTAAAAGTGCAGAGGTAAATTCCAAGCCAAAAAACACCAAATATATAGTACATATTTTTCAAATAGCACCACTATTGAAAAGGCTTCTCAGCCTGTTTTTGGTTTACCAGATGTTGCGTTGTGATAAGTAAACAATTTAAAAACAGTGTCAATAAAACATAATTGTCTTATGAGGCTACATATTGCATACCGTACAAACAGTGCTTTTCACTGTTGGTCTTATACTTTAAGATAAAGCATGAAAACTCCTTTCACAAAACTATTTGTCAAATAAAATTTAAAGGAGATAATAAATATAAACATGAATCATAAATACATTTTACATCACAATGTCTAGATTTATCTACAGACAGAGAACGCAGAGAGGTATGTATGAGTTTGTCCTTCATCTTGTCCCAGCTCGCCTCATGTTAGGTTGCACCTCCTCAATAATGCATAAATTAAGAGCACCTAATAAAACAAGATATGTGATCAGAAAAGCACAATTTAAAAAATACTAGCCTCTAAGTCAAAACCAAATTCATGCGAGGTTTGACTCCAGCTTTTAAGGAAATATTCTTGTACAATATAACTTCCCCTTCTGCAGCTCTTTATATTGCCCCCTTGTGGCCTATCCTCAATTCCATTTTGACTTGAGAGTCAAGATTACGTTCTGAAATCCAGAACAAGAATATAAATTTGTTAAGAATTATAAGAATTACAAATGTAAGAAGAATTATACATTTCTGATTAATTGCCTGTTTATTCTCCCTCTTCCTTTTTTATGTTAGTCCTCTTCAAATGTTTATACAACAGCCTTTTAAATGTCATGGACTCAAACTCAATAGCCACTTGTAGCAAAGCATTTCTTTGTCAAATAATCCTCTGAATAATTTTTTTTAATCTTGCCTTCTTCTTAACTCTTTCAGTAACCTGAGTTTATTCCCCTGTGTTACTGATTAACCACATAAAGTCATGGGAATAATCTCTCACTATTTATTTGGTTACCACTAGTCCAATTTTTTATACCTGTCCTCATAAGTACAACCCTTCATACCTAGTACCATTCACGTGAACCTGAATCTGATGTCCTTTATGTAATTGGGAACGCAAAAATTCAACTGTGTAACTGTAAATCCCAACATTGTATATAAATTTGTGGAGTCCTGCAGCTCAGTGGTTAGAGCACTCGCTTTGCAAGCGAGAGACCTGAGTTCAATTCCAGGCAGGGCGAAACCTTGGGCAAGTTTCCTTACTCCACACAGAGCCTAATAATAATCCCTCCAAAAACCCAAAACAATAATAAATTGGTCATTTTCAATCTACGACTGTTTGTGGGAGATTGCTGTGCGCAATTGGCTGCCGCGTTCGCCCACAAATATACAGTCAATTCACTTTACAGTGTGTTCTGTGAAGCGCTTTGGGACGTCCTCCCGACGTGAAAAGCGCTATATCAAATGCAAGGATTATTATTATTATTATTATAAATGTAAATTCCTTTGCATGCATCTGTAATGCAGTGTCTCTACATATAAAATTAAGAATACCATCTGTCTTTCTTGTGGCCTTCTCTACCGACACAGCACTTTTAAAGATCCATGAAGATCTCTCAGTTCTTCAGTTCATTGAAAACTTCACTACTTAAGGTATAGCTCCTTTTTGAATCATCTTACCCACAATGTGCTAGTTCACTTTTCTCCATTGTAACAACCCTGGTTTTAAACTTTATGCCACTGGATTGCTTGATGGTTAGAATAGAGAATTACTTAGCAACTAGATGTGCCTTCAGAGGAACAAAACAATCCAGCAAGACTCCTTCAACAATGAGCTAATTAAAGAGTGGATGGCACTTTTGTTGGAAGTTTGGTTCTTAAGGTGTCTCCCCTTCTTAACTGAAGGAGGTGATGAGGCCAGAGGTTACAGGGAGGAAGTTAGGAATCGAAATAATTTTATTGTAATTATGGCAGATTTTGTTTCAAGTTGGCTAATAGATGCGGTAATTATAATGGTGCAAAAATGAATTCTTCCAGGTGCTATTGGGTGAATATTTTATTCACAGGACAGATTCAATATTTCTTGACTGCACAATTTCATAAGTCTATAATCTTGAACTTTTGTTTTTAAAGTTTTGACAGCAGAAATAGCTGCAGGATGTTTATAACAGATTACAGTCTGATGAAAAGAAAGAGAGATGAATACCTGAGCTAAGCCACTTGTATCTGCAGCCCCGTTCCGGAATATGGAATGCACTTGCCACAATAACCTCCACATTTCCCAGTCACTTTGGCACCATTCTGTAGATGGAATAGGATTTGCATCCAATGAATAAACGTTTCTCTAACGTCTAAAGCAGAGATTCTCAATGTATGGGGCGTGCCTCCCTGGGGAGGTGCAGGACTGCACTAGGGATACTCCAGTTGCACACCTCCCAACATCCTATTCAGAAACAAATCCTTACCTGTGAGGGTGGGAATCGGCTGGGCTGTGAGTGCGCAGGTCCTGGCTTCTCTCAAGGTTAATGTGGAAACTGTTCTCACGAGGCTGACCCATGCGCGTGAAGAGCCAGCCAATTCCCATGCTCACAGGTAAGAGTTTTTTTTTAAAAAAAGGGCCCTGGAGAGATATGCAAGGATTATTATATGCAAGCAAACCTGTTAGAAAAATGGATCGTTTTGTGACAAAGGGACACTTCTGTGTGCCATTGGCTGCTGTGTATCGCCCACCAAATATACAGTCAATTTACTTTACAGTATATTCTGTGAAGCACTTCGATTGGTTTCATAGGCCTTATATCAAATGCAAGGATTATTTTTATTATTTAAAATGTACCACAAGACGATAAGATGACAACTGTGGAGTTTCCAGCAAAATGCAGAAGATAAAAATATGATGGAGTTTATTTAAAACTGGGATTTACAAGGAGCAGGTCCAGTAACACGCCATGACCTCAGTGTATTGAATGTGAAGTTATGGCAAATGTGTTGTCTTAGTAAACTATGGGAGGTGAAATTACCTTTTCCTTAACTTAGGGAGGCTCATTATGACAAAGTTTGAGAACCCCTAGTTTAAAGGAACCAATGTTTACCTACACAATACATTAGTTCTTGCCACCATAATAATGGTACTCAATCCAGGTTTATAATGATCGGCTTCATATAATCTAGCTCACGTTGGCCACACCAAGCGTTCATTCTTACAAGAACACATCAATCTTAGAAATAAGCAATAAGCCATTAGCTCATCAAACTCATATTGTCCAGGGAGTTAATGCTGTAGCCAACATCCCTTCCTCTACTAATATCAATTTTCATTAAATGATTCCAACAACTCTGCCACCTAGGAATTTTTGCACAACGTTCTTTCACAAAGGCAGCAGTAAAATTCATTTGAATAATAAATAGACTTCTCCTGATCTTAAGAATTTGGGAACAATTTGTGGAGTCCTGTAGCTCAGTGGTTAGAGCACTCGCTTTGCAAGTGAGAGATCTGAGTTCAATTCCAGGCAGAGGGCGAAACCTTGGGCAAGTTTCCTTCCTCCACACTCCTAATAATAATCCCTCCAAAAAACCAAAAACAATAACAAATTTGTTATTTTCAATCTACGACTGTTTGTGGGACATTGCTGTGCGCAATTGGCTGCCGCTTTCTCCCGCAAATATACAGTCAATTCACTTTCCAGTGTGTTCTGTGAAGCGCTTTGGGACGTCCTCCCGACGTGAAAAGCGCTATATCAAATGCAAGGATTATTATTATTATAACAAGGAAAGATATTCCAATCTCTACCACTCTATCAGATATTAAAGTTCTCTCTTTCAGGACCCAAACTGATTCATTGTAGCTTCTCTCTACCATTTCAATCTCTCCTCAGAATAAAGAATGTGTCCAATTCCATTCTGAAAGTTTCAGTTGAAATGAGCCTTTTTCAGTGCCAGGCAGTCCTATTCCTCAAGTTAACAATTCTTAGTCTTAAGAAGTTTGCCTGATTTACATTTAGCGTATTGCTACTTTTTAAGTTATGTCCCGAGTCTACACAAAGTACTGAACTGTACAGAGTCTCACCAAGAACCTCCTAAACGGTTGGCATAATTATATTCTGTGAATGTAGCTCAGCATTCCAAATTTCTATTTGCTTTTCAAACTGCTGCCAAACATCAACTTATATCTAACAGTGCAAAAGTAACTAAATAATAATAATTTGGTAATTTGCCACTCAATCCGCAAATGTTTGCGGGTCACTGCTGTGCGCAATTGGCTGCCGTGTTTTGTCCACCAACTACACAGTATACAAAATATGTAAAATATACACTTTCAGTATATTCTGTGAAGCGTTTTGAGACATCTCAACAACATAATAAGGTGTTATATCAAATGCAAGTATTATTATTATTGATGTAACAGAACATCTTTAAATCCTGAAATATGGGAGTGGTGATGGGAAGACTTAGAAAAAAATTAAATGTTGCAATTTTTGGGCACCTCTCACAGTCACTACATCATATCACACTCCACTGTTTTGATTATACAGCCTTAATTTGATAATCATGCTTGCAATTTTAGCATAAATGTTTTTTAATCTGAAAATCTGTTAATATTAAGTTCTAATTCTACTCACTAATATCATTTGTAAATATGAACAGCTGGTTACTGAGCCTGAGCCATAGGGAATTCCACTGGTCATGACTGTTGAATTAGAATTCCTCTATTGTCACTTTATTTTCTACTCCAGTATCTACCCAAGTTATTATCCAATGTACTAATTTCCCCGTTGGATGAAAAGCTTTAATATTCTTTTAAGAGGCTTTATCAGTACGTTCTAAAAATCAAAGTGTCTAATAGTTAATTTTATTAACCATTGTTACAATTTTATAAGAAAGAACACAAACCTATTGTACAAACACTCCCCTTATTCCCCCTAAATCTTGATCACAGGATAAGGATCCATTCCTTTTATAAACCAGCGTTGTTTTGGAATGATTGCCTCTACTTTTCTAAATGGTCTGATGTTCTGGCTTTAAATAATATACATTTAATGGCATGAAGTGAATGACCAATTAATCTGGAGGATTGTTGGCTAGGATACCGGGAGAAATTTCCTTTGACAATTTCCTTTACAAAATTTTAAACAATGGTCATTATTTTCCCATTTTCTAGCCATACTTTTGTGTTCAGTGAGCCTGAACTAATTTCACCATAACTCTACATTTCTATCTTTCATATTCTTAATTGTTATTCGATACATTCCATCTGGCCCTAATAAATATTCCAAGAAAAACATTCTGTTTTTTTTGGGGAAAATTTCTTTACTAACCTTTATTCTCTCCATAAGCAGCACAGGCACAATGGGCTGAATGGGCTCCTTCTGTGCTGTAATATTCTATGATTCTAAGCTTTAATAGATTCTCTCCCCCTCTCCAATTCTGAGAACATTCTGTACATTGAAAACTTTTTCTACTATTTTAGCTCCACCTATCATCGTCAAAAGATTAGATTTGGGCTTTTAAATCTTTAGCTGTACCGAAAAATCCTTTTGTGGTTCCCTCTAAAATCCCTTGGAATTTTTTTCCACTTTTCTGAGTATCCCCATCACTCTTCATTATTGATGGAAGTCCTGTAGCTCATTGGTTAGAGCACCCGCCTTGCAAGAGAGACCTGGGCAAGTTTCCTTATGCCACACGCCTGATAATAATCCCTCAAGAAAAAAAACAAAAATAGTTTGGTCACTCATTCCACGACTGTTTGTGGAACACTGCTGTGGAACACCGGGAGCCGAGGTAGGAGAGCGCGGGGCGGAGCCGAGGCCTGGCTGTGTATAAAAGCACATCCAGGTGAGGAGTCATTCAATCGGGAGTGGAGGTAGAGAGTGTGGGGTGGGGGTTCGGCGCGATTCACAAAGTGTTGTCACAGTTAAAAATTTTTTAAAAAAGCAACAACAACAACAACGGCCTGGCAGCCCCTGGCACTGCCATCCTGGCCATGACCTGGGAGGCTGAACCTGAGGGCTGATGCCGTCCCACTGTCCCAGAGCAGCAACCCCACGTGTCCCATCACTCACTCCCTCCACTCAAACCGCCTCCTTAAGGCAAACCCAACTTCCCCCTCCCTCATATGTACCCTCCCCAACTCTCCACTCACACCACTCTCCAAAACCATCTCTCCTGTACAATCCAAAATCCTCTCCGCATCACTCTCTCCTCCCTCGCCCCCCTCCAACAAACCCACCCGCATTTCTCTCCAAAATGTCCGTTTCCTCTCAAACAAAGCCCTCACCATCCACGACCTCATCCTGGACGAGCACCTTGAATTCTTGGGCTCACTGAAACCTGGCTCTCCCCCAATAACCCCGTACCCCTAGTGGAAGCCTCCCCTCTAGGCTACACCTTCCACCACACCCCCCGTCCAAACCAATGTGGTGGCGGGGTGGCCTTCATTTCCAAAACCTCCCTTGGTCTCACCCCTTACTCCTCTGGCTGCTTCCCCTCCTCACCCTCTCCCACCCCTCTCACCCATTGAAAATCCTCCTTGTCTATCGCCCCCCGAAGCCCCCTGGCTCCTTCCACACAGACATCTCTACTCTCCTCTCTTCCCTGACCCTCTGCTCCGAACGCCTGCTCATAATGGGCGATTTCAACCTCCACCTTAGCTCCCTTTGCACCACTTCTGCCAATTCTACTGCCCTCCTCTCCCCCCTAAACCTTACCTTTCATATAAACTCACCCACCCACAACTGTGGTCATGCACTTGACCTCGTCATCACACACGGCCTTGACATTTCCGACCTCAGCATAGTGGACAAGGCCATCTTAGACAACTTTTTCATCTCCTTCTCTTCTCACAACCCTCTCTCCTCCACCAAGCCCTCAACCATCCTCTATCGCCCTTGGAAAAGGCTACCCCCTGAGACCCTCACAAAGGCCCTCTCATCATCAAACATCCTATCAAACATCAAACAGCCGTCCAGCTGCTCCATGATCGCCTCTCCTCCACCTTCAATTCCCTTGGCCCCATAAAATCCAGGACCATCTCCAAACCCACCCGATTCCCCGGTACAACAACCATCTCCGCCGCCTAAAGACCCAAACCTGTCTGCTCGAGCGCAGATGGGGGAAAACTAGCCTGACAGTTCACCGCCAACTGTGGCTCGAGCATCTCCACAGCTATTGTCGTTCTTTGACACACGCAAAAAATGGCCTTCTATTCCAACATCATCTTGGAGGCTAAACACAACCCTAAAATCCTTTTTTCCACCACCCACTACCTCCTCCGTGTCCCCCCCTCAGGCTTTCTCAATCTTTGTAACAAATGCCAAGTGCAAGGAGGTCATGGACTTCTTTTCATCTAAAATACTTAACATCTGCCAGGCAGCCTCATCCACCTGCCCCTTGTCACCCACCACCACACCCTCTCTGTCCCCCTCACCTTCCTCATCATCTGCTCCTACCACCACCCCCATTCTACATTCCTTCTTCCCTCTCACCCACCATCACCTCCATGAAACCCACCACCTGCTGCCTCGACCCCCACCCCACCAACTTACGTCACCCAGCTCCCCCTCCTCTGCCCACTACTGGCTGACATCATCAATCAGTCCCTCTCCTCCGGATCAGTCCCTGCCTCCCTCAAAATTGCTGTCATCACCCCTCTCCTGAAAAAACCCTCCCTAGATCCCTCAAACACCAGCCACTACCGCTCTATTTCTAACCTGCCCTTCCTCGCAAAGGTTCTAGAATGCGTTGTTGCTAATCAACTTCATGCACACCTCTCCAGTCCGGTTTCCGCCCACAGTACAGAGACTGCGCTTGTGAAAGTCACAAACGACATCCTCTCTGTGACCAGGTCTCCCTCTGCCTCCTTGTCCTCCTGGACCTCTCCGCTGCGTTCGACACAGTTGATCACGCCATCCTCCTCCACTGTCTTTCCTCCATCATCCACCTCAGTGGGTCCGCACTCACCTGGTTCGAGTCCTACCTCACAAACCGGCAGCAGTACACCGGCTTCTCCTCCCGCTCTCACCCGGTCACCTGCGGGTACCCCAAAGATCCATCCTTGGCCCCCTCCTCGTTCTGATCTATATGCTCCCTCTTGGGGATGTCATCCGCAGACATGGGGTACACTTCTACATGTATGCAGACGACACCAAACTCTATTCTTTCACCTCTCTTTGCGAACCCCAGTCCCCTGATGTTCTGTCAGCCTGCCTGTCAGACCTCAGGGGTTGGATGAGTGCAAATTTCCTTCAGCTGAACGTTGACAAGACGGAAGCCATACTCTTTGGCTCTTGTCAACGTCTAAAATCTCATGGCTCTCACCTCCTCCACCTACCCGACCTCCCCGTAAAACTCTCTGAACCCGTACGCAACCTAGGCATCAGGTTCAACCGCCAATTATCCTTCCTCCCCCACATCCGGTCCCTCAGCAGTACTGCTTTCTTCCACCTCCGATGCATCGCCCGTCTCCACCAATACCTCTCTCCGAAAGCCGCTGAAACCCTGGTCCATGCTTTGGCACCTCTCGGCTGGACTATTCCTCGCCGGTCTTCCATCCACTACCATCCATAAAATCCAAATCATTCAAAACTCTGCCGCCCGCATTCTCACCCGCACAAAACTCCGCTCCCCGATTACCCCAGTCCTTGCCAGACTGCATTGGCTGCTTATCCCAGAGAGGATCGATTTCAAGATCCTCACCCTTGTAGTCAAGTCCCTGCGCTCCTCTGCACTTCCCTACCTCTCTGACTTCCTCTCTCCTCAAAACAGTACCCGTTGCCTTTGTTCTTCCGGGTCTGGCCTCTTCCTCGTCCCCCGAGTCCTCTGCTCCACCCTCGGCGGCCATGCCTTCAGCCACTATGCCCCGAAGCTCTGGAACTCCCTTCCTTACTCCCTTCCTCACTCCCTTCGTCTCACTCCCTCCCTTCCCATTTTCAGGTCTCTTCTGAGACCTTTCTTTTCGACCGTGCCTTTGGTCACCTTCCTTCCCCTCCCCCGGGTCGCTCCCGGGATGTGTTACTGTGAAGCGCTCTGAGACGCCGTCTGGTGTGGAGGGCGCTATATAAATCCAAATTGTTGTTGTTATTGCTATGCACAATTGGCTGCCGCATTTCACTCACAACTATACAGTCAATTCATTTTACAGTATATTCTGTGAAACACTTTGAGACGTCTCGAAGACGTGAAAAATGCTATATCAAATGCAAGAAGTATTATCATTATTATGGAGATGCCATCCTTCAGATGAGATGTTAATTCAATGTCCAATCTGCCTGTTCAGTGGAAGTTAAAGATCCCAAGGCACTATTCGAAAAGAGAAGGGCCAACAATCCTCACTATAAAATTGGCCATTCCCTTCATGGCTGTTTGTGGGACATAACTGTGTGCAAATTGGTTGGTCTGCAAAATTCACAGTCACCACACATTGCAGTATATATCCTGCTAATGGCTTTGAGATGTCCTCCCAACATGAATGCGCTATATCAAAATGTAAGAATTATTTCTATAAACTGCTTTTCATTTCAAAAATCATGCCCTGGTTTTACATTTGATTTGGTAGCTATTTATAAGTGTAGTATTTTACTCACACATATTGGTTCTACCTACTGATATAAATGCTTTCTACAATAGCTAATGAAAGGAAATAATTGCCCAACTGTATTAAATTAAATTTTCTACCCCTTCTGAGACCTCCACTGCAATGCATCATTCATGCCTGCAGAGCTGAAAACACGCAACCTGCTCTTAAGAATTCTGCCAATGTTTCTTCAGCCTGACAGAGTTGCATACGACAGTAACTATGGTGACTCATTCTCCAATTTTCTTTTCCTCCCACTGAAGAGGTACCTTGCCTCAACTCAATTATTGTCTCAATGGATGATATTGGGCGAAATCAGGCGATGAATCATTTTCCGACTTTTAAATAAACTTCCCATATATATGTTGAATATGTACAATTACTTTTGTAACAACATGCAAGAGGAAGCTTGGTGCATACATGAGAGCAAAGGGTATAGAAGGGTGTGGGAGAGGGGAATTAGATAGATGGAGGCTCGTGGCATGGACTAGTTGCCCGAATGGCTGTTTCCATGCAATAATGTTCTATATAATTCCACTTACTTTTTGTGTATTTCCTTACCAGCGATCGTTGTATTTCTACTACTGCATAATTTCCCTGTGAAATCCATCTTGTTGATTCAGACACTCGGAGCCCTGTTCCAGAAAGGTTGATGCTAAATTGGCCCTGGAAGAAAAAATGCCTACATTTATTATAACTTTTACAGAAAACTCATTCTTTCAGTAAGGCATCAGAGTTTTCAGTTTGCTTATTTTTTTTAATTTGACTTAGTGCCTCATCACATAATTCAAAGTGCAGTGACTTTTCTTATTATAGACAAACACAAATCTGTGCCAGGAAAGTCCCCCAAACAGTAATGTGATTTTTGACCAATTACTCAATTTCATTGTGAATTTAATAAGGGAGGATTATAGGTCAGGACACGAGTGAAAAAATAATGTCTGCCCCATTTCAAAATAGTGGAATGAAATCTTAAACATTTACCTGAACCTCTGGAACAGGCTGCCTGGTTAAGGAAAGGATATGTTTCTTAAGGAAAGAGAATGATGACATGCACATACCCAAAAAGCTATAGATGAGAAATCTATCGATGGGTTAAGAATACATACTTGGGAAATGGAAACAATATTCAAAGGTATGGAAAGAGACAAGGGATTGGGGAGACTGTGCTCTGAAATGATCTGTGGCAGAGTGGGTTTATTGGGCGAAATGGCTTTCTCCAGCTCCTAAATTCCTGTATCTGAAGGGTTATCCTTCAGCCTCTCTCAAGGCTGAGACTGATAGATTTTTTTAAAAATCAGAGGGATTAGGGGATATGGGGATAGGGCAGGTAATTAGAGTTAGGTCTGAAGATCAGCCATGATCTTATCGAATGGCGGGGCAGGCTCGAGGGGTCGAATGGCCTACTCCTGCTCCTAATTCTTATGTTCTAATACTTCAGTACAATGTCAAATCCCAGATAAAAATCTTCAATATTTGGATGGGGTCAAACCATAACCATTTGATCTAGAGTCCTACCCACTGAATCAAACTGACAAACTAAATATCTTCAAGGTATACTGTTAGAGCATTGCACTAACTTCACCAAACCATTTCTCCAATGTTAAACTATTTTCCAAATTATAATGTGCCTATTTCGTTATTGATGATTTTCTGAGAGTGAACATGTCTGTTAAACGTTTCAAAATGGAACATCTGTTTCTAATTTACCAAAAACACCTACTTGTAGTCTGATACTGTAATAGGAAAATATTTGCATGTCAGGAATAATTATATTAACATGTGCAGATAGCCTGGCAAGGTTTGCTTATGTCCTGTGGCTCCCCAAAACATCTATTGAGTATATCTGCAATATAATTGATAGGAAATTAGATAAACATGCAAATTTAGATATAAAAAAGCATGGGGAAAGAGCAATCAAATGGAAATAAAAGTGGAAAGCTCGAGAAGAAATTATTACATCACAAGCCTGATAGGCCAAGTGACCTCATTCTGTGCTGTAGTTTCTCGAGTGCATTCCCTTGTCAATTCAATACCAATTCTGAATGACGTCCCTATACAGAGAACCATGTTATTTGCTCCTTGGTCTATATTTAATTGACAACAGGCCATATACGTATAAGCAAATCATTCAGAATTATGACCCATTTAAACGTTAAGAGGGGTTATTTATCTTGGACCTGGACATTTCCCATGCAACTTTTCCATTCTTGGCAAACAGAATTGCCATCCCAATGAAGTTTGAAACAGAGTTCCTATGAATTTCAATCTCTTGACCAGAACAACTGGGCTTCTGTAGGTTTGGTTGAAGCTACCACTGAGTGGGAGATCTGATCCCGATGTGTATCAACAAAATATAACAGAGCAGGAAACATGCAGAGCAGAGATTGATGTGATTTATTGAGCTCTTCTGGCTGTATCAAAGTCTTCACACTTTTATTTTTGAAGTTCCCCATTAAGACTCATTATCTATGGAAACATACATGTCCATGAAAGGCACTATATAAATGTAAATCCTTGCATTTGATCTAGCGCCTTATCACGTTTTCGAGACATCTCGAAGCGCTTCACAGAATATACTGTAAAGTGCATTGATTGTATATTTTGTGGGCGAAACGTGGCATCCAATAGTGCACAGCAGTGTCCCACAAATAGTCATGAATTGAAGTGACCAATTTATTATTAGTTTTTTTTTAAGTGTAACAATCAGGTTCCTATTTACTGCTAGGTAAACAGGTGTGTGGAGTAAGGAAACTTGCCCTGCTGGGAATCGAACCCAAGTCACTGGCTTGCGAGGCAATTGCTCTAACCACTGAGCTACAGAACTTCACTATTGTGGTTATGTTGCTGTAATCACCTGTTGCAGATTTTGCTATTTCCCTGAGAAATTTAACTCCTTTTTTGCTGATTCAACTTTGATGAGTAAGACTAAAACTAAGTATTTAACGTGGGGTTAGCTAAAGAAACAAAGATAGCCATCAAGTCTGCTGGATCTTGGGAAAAAAGACTTTATTGTAACCAATGTGGAGTTAAAGCTGCTATTCAGATTTCAAATGAGCAGGATTTTTTTCCAAAATGGTTCCCAAAAGCATTGTACTGATTCTGGCCTAACTTCACTCTTTATTAATTCTCTCTAGGATTTAGAATGTGGGAGAGGGTTGGAAATGTGTGGGGTTATTTAAGTTTACTCTGATAAGAATAATACAAACATATATTAAAGTACCAGATCTTTGCTTCTCTGTTTTTGAATTTGAACTTTGAGGTTAGTCCATTATTATATGAAAAGACCATTATTTTTCTTAACGGGGTACAAACTTGATGAAGCGTAAAATCAAAATCATACACTACAAAGTAACGACTTAATCCAGTGCTCCAGATTTATTATTGAGTATTTGCTAAAATCATGTGTGCTAATTAGATTTGCGTTTTATAGATATTTCTGTGAACAGCATGTACATTTCAGCTATGATTGTAGGCATGTTGCCCATCTTTATTTGGAGCTCTTTTGTATCCAGCGAGTGCTATAAAGTGGAACATGTGTTTTAGACCAATTCAAGGTAATCTCATCTGTTTATACTCTGATAACATTAAAAAAATTCATCTTATCAGAAAACAGTGATAAAATTAACCAGAATAAACAGTGATTTAAAATGTACTGTACGATACTGATGTATAACCAGTCACTTACAAGAAGCACATTGTAAATGGTTTCACTTTGTAATACATTCTGCAAAATTGTATGATGGATTCAAATAATTTTTTTCATTCTATATTCTATAGGTTGAAATTTCCAGTTATTTTTTAACCACATCGAAATGTAACTGGCACTCTATGACCATAAATCATTCTTGTTAGCCTGCAGGAAATTTGGTCTTAAAATGTAAGAAGTGAGGAATATTATTTAATTTAGCCTGAATGTGGACATCTTGTAGTCCAGCTTGTCCTATTTGAATCACCTCAGTTCCAAACATCCCTCAATCTGGCACTGACCCAACAGATTGTCACGAATACTGTTGCCATATTACCACATTACTGCAGTGAAAAGCTAACAGAGTAACCACTGGCAAAATATACTGTGGACTAAATCAGGCTACAAGAATGTTAGCAATGAACTCTGGTTTGAGAATATTATCTCAGGGAATGTTAATTTTTCAAGGAATTAAATAAAAAGGAGTTTATTTCCTTCCGCAAGTTCTAAGTTATAATTGTCACCAATGGAGTAGGCATTGTACAAAAAAAACAGAAATTCAAACTCTCGTTTCTGGGCACAATTGGTTTATTATATGGACAAATTAATTAACTGTTAATTATGAGGTCAGTCAACTGGCTTTTCCTGATTTCTTCATTTTTATGAATCTCAGTAAGTACAGGGTTAGAGAGAGGATACTTGCAACCTCTACTGTGCTTGCAATTCAGGCTGATTAAATTAATACAAGCTGTAATAACAAAGAGGAAGAAAAAACCCTGAGGTTAAATATATCTCAATTTACCTTAAACCATTGTAATACATCCACACTTTTAAACAATGGTACTGGTAATTATTTGGATTGAATGCGACAATTTTGTGTCTTTGTCACAGTTTAATTATAATTAATATGATGTATTGCATGGCAACAGGGTAAGAGGATCAAAAATTCAGCTGCTTACATTTCGAATTTGAAACTACCATGCAGATGGTAAAAACAGCATTGGTTCAAAACAATCTGTAGGGGGCACTGATGGTGTTCTACTGCAACAGTGCTGACAAATTAATGATCCAGCATGCTTCAAGTCCTTGAAATTATTCCCAACTTAAATAAATGCAGTGCTATCCAAACTTTTCATTTTGAATACCTAACAAGGCAAGCTGAGCATCTTTCTCCCCAAAAGGAATTAATAAGAACACATATAGCCAGAAGAGATTATACAAAATTAATCACAGCAAATTTATTTTCAAGCTAAATTTTAATCAATTTAATTATTTGAATTTATATTAGCACAGTGCCAGTGAAATTCACAGAGCTTGAAGCATTTTGGCAATTATGTTAAAAAGATATTCTACTGTAAACACATTAACTGGGATACTTTTATTATATTATGAAGGATGATTATCTAGACCTTCCTCATCTGATTTAGAAAACATTGAAGTATATTGATTGTGAGCTCAGAGCATGAAGCAAAATGATTAATGTGGTGCAGTCTAAACAGGTGGATAAAGACTATTTTTGGCAATGTATTGTGATTTTAATACAAACCTAATAATAATAATCCTTGCATTTGACATAGCACCTCATCATGTCTTCTAGACGTCTCAAAGCGCTTCACAAAATATACTGTAATAAGAATTGACTGTATATTTTGTGGGTGAAACACAGCAGCCAATTGCATACAGACAGTCGTGGATTGAGTGACCAAATTTTTTTTTTTTTTTGAAGGGAGTATTACCCCCGAAAGCGATCCGCCAATCAACTAACAAGTTCCTACTTACTGCTGGGTAAACAGGGGTGTGTGGAGTAAAGAAAACTGGCCAACGTTTTGCCCTGCCTGGGAATCAAACCCAGGTCCTCTCGCTTGCGAGGCAAGCGCTCTAACCACTAAGCTACAGGACTCCAACAGTATTAAACAAAGTTTAATCCGAACATATGTCTGCCTACAAAATACACAGTCACTAGTTTACAGTATCCCATGAAGTACTTTGAGACATCCTCCCAAAGTGAGAGGGGCTCTAACAAACACAAGCATAATTATTATTATTATTAACTAACTGTACCCATTGCAGCTTTGCTTGCAAACAAAGGATCCAATATGGAATCTAGATTGACAGACAGACATTTTGTCTTTATCTATACTCAGCTGGGAGGACTCCTGTGGGAGGTCTATATTTTCTCTCAGTCTCTCTCTTAGTCTCTCTCAGTATCTCACTCTCTCTCACTGTTATGCTCTCAACAAACAATGTGTAGAACACTCCTTTATTTCAGCTCACTATTTACAAATCCAAAACAGTACAACCAAACAACCACCACCAACCCTCTACTCAGTTCTCCCTGCTTGCTGCCTTTCTACCTCTTGATCCCCTTCCATTGGTCCTAGTCAATTGGTCCTTGTTGTCTTAATGAGTATCCAACACTTACTCTCAGTCTCTCTCTGTTTTTCTCTCTCTTCCACAAAACACACAGTCACTACACTTTATAATATATTCTCTCTCAGTCTTTTTCTCTCTCTCAGTCTCTTTTCTCAGTCTCTCTCACTATCTCAGTCTCTCTCTCTCTCTCTCTCTCTCACAGTCTCTCTGTCTGTCCTATATTGGAGGATTCTAGCTCTCAGGACAACCAGAAAAAAATGCCATACATTTGTTGCAGAATATAGACATATCTCTCTGAATGAACACTCAAGTGAGAGAGGCTATAACAAATGTAAGCATAATTACTATTAACTAGCTGTACCCGTTGCACCCGTGCTTTCCTCTGTTGCTGCGTAGTTGCACAATACGATGCATACCTCGTATTTTGGGGGCTTAATTAAAGCATTTTCTAATATAGCTCATCAACGATAGGAAATCCCCCAAAAATAAATATGCTCATCACATTGTCATTTGCAAGACCTTTCCGATGAGATATAAATCATGTCTCTATGTCAAACTGATTATTGCGTGATTGACAGATACACTGAGACACAGACAGACACACAGACATTTTGTCTTTATTAGTATAGATAAGAACATTTAGCCTTGATTTTTCATGTGTTATAAACAAGATTGAACACTGTTTTATTACAGAAATTGGGATGTCATCAGGTTGCTTTGTGGACTTGTGGCAACAATTTTAAAAATCCAGTATTTCTTCCTACCTCTCCGGATGCTGCTGAATCATCAGTACAGATCCACATGTGTCTGCCATCTACTGATACCTAAGAGACCATTGTTCCAATCTGGACTCAGAAGATATATTAAGATATATTAAGGAATGGCAGATGGACTTTACCGTATATAAATCTAAGGACCCAGGTTATGGAACAGCAAACACAATGCAAGGATATCAGCTGACAAAGTGAAGCAATTATCAACAAGTATGATACAATACTTAGCAAGAGAAAGCTTTACAGTAAATTCTGTGAAGTGCTTGGAGACATACTCGTGACATGAAAGGTGTTATGAGTTGCAAGGATTACGATTAGTAGTATTACATTCAGGAGAGAGTGATACAGCCTTGATTATGGTGGAAAGACTGAAGAACATTAAAATGATGAGAAGCGAATATGTAAGCATGTTATTTGATTTAAACTGTAAAAGCAGAACTCGAGTGCAGAGGTTTAGTATCGAAAAGACTCAGTTAGATCAGAAGGAAACATTTAGCACAGAATAGTAAATCAGTGGAACTGACTCTAAAGATAGTTGATATTGCTTTAAATATTTTAATAAGGACCTGAATAAATAACTGGTGGAAATAGTTTTGAATATGATAGGTAATTACAGACTGAGATAACAAAATATTTGTATGCTGCTGTGCCCAGAGTGGAATATTATCTGTGAGGGGTAATAGGCTGCTTCATTTGTAATCATCTTCTGATGTCTTTCTATATCAGCATATGTTTCCTAGGGAAGGATATGAACAGATCCTTTTCACCAGATGCAGCCATTTACTTATAAATATCAGTGTGAGCTGTTTTATAACTGGGTGGGTGTATAAGAACAATTACTTGTCTAAACACAGATAATTTGTGCCAGTAATGAAAGAAAACAAACTGTATAATAAAAGCACACGAAAGAACTGCACTGATGTCAAATTCTATCAAAAAGAAAATTTATATAACTTTACAACGGAATTAATGTACTACAACAGAAAAGTGAGACACCTAATCTATGCGTCCTATTACAAATACTGTATGCCCCGAGGCTCTGGAACTGCCTTCCTCACTCCCTTTGTCTCGCTCCCTCTCTTCCCATTTTCAGGTCTCTGCTGAAGACCTTCCTTTTTGATTGCGCCTTTCGTCACCTTCCTTCCCCTCCCCCTGGCTCGGCCCCGGGATCCATTATTGTAAAGTGCTCTGAGACGCCGTCCGGCGTGGAGGGCACTATATAAATCCAAATTGTTGTTACTGTACAGCTGATGCTTCAAAAATTAATTTAAATCCTTAAAGCAATGATAATAAGTATTTGGATAATGAGGTGCTCTTTCCAGTCTAACATGTGTTGTACAGCTGTAAAATGCTGTAGGGAACGAATATTATTTCTGTAAGTTTCAGCAAAATGCCAACAGTTTAACAAATGAACCAATTATCTTTAGAAAGCGTCAAAAAGATTAATCTACAACCAGCTCCAGGTTTTCTTTAAGTTTATAATATTTATTTCAAAATTCATTTTTATAGACTACAAGTAAGCACTTTAGTTCCCTTTGTTTTCCCTAAGGTCTGCCGAATGCACTTGGCTCAAATCCGGCCTAACATCCACTGCCACATCTGGCTTGACCAGGTCACAAATGACATCCTGACTATGTGTGATCAGGGCTCCCTCTGCCTCCTCATCTTCCTCGACCTCTCTGGCGCCTTTGACACCGTGGACTACTCAATCCTCCTCCACTGCCTCTCCTCTCACCTCAACCTTTAAGATTCTGTCCTTGACTGGTTCAGGTCCTAACTTTCACACCGCCTCCACTTCGTCGCAGCAAACGACTTCTCCTCCAGCCCCCGCATCGTCTCGTGCGGTGTTCCTCAGGGCTCTGACCTCGGTCCCCTCCTCTTCACCCTCTACATACTCCCACTTGGTGACATCATCCGCAGACATGGGGTAAATTTCCACATGTATGCGGATGACACCCAACTCTATCTCTCTGCCTCCACCCTCAACTCCAGGACTACTGGCGTCCTGACCGACTGCCTGAACGACATCAAGTTCTGGATGAGGGACAACTTTCTCCAACTCAACGTCAGCAAGACCGAGGCCTTCCTGATTGGCTCGCACTTGGCTCCGCACCTCAGACGCTGGCAGCATCAGCCTCCATGGCTGCACACTCAACCTCACTAAGCCAGTCAGGAGCCTGGGTGTCTTGTTTGATCCTGAACTGTCCTTTCTCCCCCTCATCCGCACCATGACCGGCACTGCCTACCATCACCTCCGCAACATTGCCAGACTCCGTCACTGCCTGACCCCTCAGGCTACCGAAACCCTCACCCACGCATTTGTCACATCAAGGTTCGATTACGGAAACTCCCTCCTCATCGGCCTTCCCAACTTTTCCCTTCACAAGCTGCAGATCATCCAAAACTCTGCAGCTCGTGTGCTCTCGCGGACCAGGCTCGCAACCCCATCACTCCCACTCTCGCCCGACTCCGCTGGCTCCCCATTCCCCAGAGGATCGAGTTCAAGATCCTTGTCCTCATCTTTAAGGACATCCATGGCCTTGGCCATTCCTATCTCTCTGACTTGCTGACTCCCAACCAATCTGCCTGCTCCCTCCGTTCAGCGGGCTCCAGCCTGCTCCATGTCTCACGCCCAACCCACCCTACCGTCGGTGGCCAGGCCTTCAGCCTCTCTGTGCCCACACTCTGGAACCCCATCCCACAGTCCCTTTGCCTCGCTTCTTCCCTTGCCTCCTTCAAGGCTGGTGTCAAGAACCTTGTCTTTGACAGTGCTTTTGGTCTCCCTTCCACCTCTCTGCCTTCTCTCACCCCTACACCACCCCTCCCCCATGCTCGGGCCCCGACACCTGACTGTTCAGCGCTTTGGGACGTCCTCCCGACGTGAAAGGCGCTCTCTAAATGTAATTTTGTTGTTTGTTGTTGTTGTCCACCCCTCAAACACAGTCAATGCCTGAGGGGTTATTTTTCACGTGCAAGCCTTAACATTGAATGTAGGCAGATTCTTTGACAATCGGGGCCACTGGAGCGGAGCCTTACTCTGTAATTTAATTGCATTCACACATCCACCACCTCTCTGAAACGGGAACATTTCTGATTTTTCCCTCCCTAACCAAGGGCTCTTAAGCCACATGATTACAAGGTGACGGGAGCCTTTTTTCCAGAACTCAAACGGACCACAAAAAGAAAGGATGTATCCAAAATAATAAGGCGAATGTTAATAATTAATACAAGAGCCCTCATTTGGCTTTGGATTTCCATGGGCAAGGGCGTTAAGGCTATCATATGTACAAAATGACCACAAACACCACTGTAATTCATCCTTGACCAATATTTATTCTACGGATTTTCTTTTCTGGTTTTGTTCCTGTCCTTTTGGCATGCAAATTGTGAGCTTTCACAATATTACCATATGTAGTGAATAAGTAACTACGTCACCTGGGGGCATCTGGCAGCACTGTAACAGTCTCCAGCTGTGGCAAATGGAACAGATCGTCCTTCAAGTGTGTGTGCGAAGTACAAGTCCGTTGCTATAAAGACAGCAATGAATGCGTCAATGAAAATATGCAACATCGACAAAAATAAAATAAGACTAGGTAATACTGAAGCTTTTTTATAAATAATACTTTCAATGCACAAATCAAAAATATAGTTTTCAAGTTTCAAAACCTAATAGTTATATTTTGTAGCTTAGATCAGTATTAGGTGATAAGAAATCATTTTTGAGACCAGATGCTAATAATTTTGATATTCTTTGAGCCTGAAAGTCAATTGTATTGTGGTTGTATTGCTCAGAGTGAAGCCATTGTATACTGTGTTGTGGAGCATGAAGCCCACTTTATACTTACTGCTTTATATCTCATAAGTTAGAATTGGGAGCATAAAACCCCTGAGTTTGGGGATTCTGTGTAGGCACAACCCTTTAATAAAGTTAAAAAAATGATCTACTGAAGAATCTATTCCAGGGTGTCCACCTCCTGACAGCTTTTAACAGACCATGGGGAAGCAAGCCCAGCCAGAGTCACAACAACTGAAACTACCTAATTCATATAGTGTCAGCCTCTCAGCGCAAATAGTCAGAGCTTAGTCAAAGTGGTCTGTCTTGTCAACATTGATGTGCTTTTCAGCAGTTTTGAGTGGTGCAACCCTCTGGAAATCATTTATCACTACAGGGTGTGACACTGAGACTACAAGGCAAGAAAGTCCCAGGTTCAATCCCTTGTCTTGTGTTGAATTTTCCGATCTCAGTTGGGATGATGATGGAGTTGTTAGAATTGACCTTGCATCTCTACATTGGGGGTTGGGTGGAGGGGGGAGGGAGGGAAGGGAGAAACTCAGTTGACATTTCCTCTCTTGATTGTTATCCAGTGACCCTTGCTGATGTGCATGTGTGTGGACGTTGAGTGAGGACAGGAATGGGCTCAGCTGTGGGGTCCCCCATGATCAAGTAGCCTGCCAACACTTACCGTCCAGATTCACACATGAAGAATGGTCACTTGAGTGAGGAACCAGAGGGCTGTTGCTGCCTGTGGAACTGTATCGCAGCATGAATCACTTCCTTCAGGAAGGGAGGGATAAGGGGGGAAATTGGAGGGGGGGGAAATTGGAGGGGGAAGAAAAAAAGCACAGTTTTTACGCTAAGACTACTTTTTTAGCGTTTATTTTAAAAATCTTCCAACTCTCCAACCCTTGCATCTTTAGATTCCCCTCCTAACTGTGTGCCATTCTCAAACGTGAGATATGGACAGTTAGGGCACCACCAATGCACACTTTAGTCAACTGCCCTCATGTTTGTGAAACAAGGTGACCTGCCCTCTGATTCTCCTCCTTGACAGTTGTGGGTGGGGCAGTGGGGGGCGCGGGGAGGGGGGTGGGGGGATCACACACTGCCTTTGCTCCGCACCTCCTCTGGTGTCAATTAGTAAAATACAAAGACCTGTCCAACAGTGCTGAATATCAACACACGTTGCCACCACACCGCTGAAGGCTGCACCTTTTAAGATATTCAAGAGCACTTTTATGTTTACAACTACAGCAGGTGCAGGGATTCCAGCACCATTCATTGTTCGGAAGCCAGATTCCTGCGAACAGCTCCTTTGATTCAAACCTTTCAACTAATATAAATAATCCAGATGACTGATTTTCAAGTTAACTGACCTATTGATACCTCTGAATTTCAACTTCCCCTGTCCACATTTAAGAAATAATAGTCAGGCTTTTGAAGAAGCAAGTCCCAAAAATAAAAGGCCCCTTGCCATGAATCCTACAATCCAGAAATAATATAAATAATAATATAAATAAAATGTCTGAAAGCCATAGGGCAAGCCAAAGCCCTAACATTTAGCGTGATCCTTGCTGGACAAACAGTGGGCAACTTGCCAGACAGTTTTCAGAATGGCAAGCTAAGTGGTTTTATGAAAACCTCTCTTCAATTATGCCTCCTCTATTTCCTGTGCCTTCATTTATTTGGAAGCATTCATTAAACAGGAAGTGAGGGAGAGAGACTCTGCTTTATAGATGATCTGAAGTCCTGAGATTCTATCAGTGATATGTGAAACTTCCAAAATTTGTTTTCCAGTATTAGGAGTGCAGCAATCTTGTGTTTATTGGCTTATTCTGACGTTCCTACAATTGTGAAAAATGCTTCTACTCAAAGTTTAAGTATCACAATATTGTATTTCATTGTTGTTGTCTTTTGCAACAACCTATTTTTTTACTCCTGATCCTGATATAAAAAAACTCCTTGCATTTATTTTAACCACTGTTTAACCAGATTTAACACTGGTTGCATCAATATTTCAAAATGTTGAACTCAAATGGAGAGCAGAAGGGGTGATTGCAGAAGCATATATGGAGAGAAAAAAATAGTAACCGCTAACAACAAGGATCTTAAAATGAACAGGAAGATAGAAAGTTGCTCCAATAAGTAAATAAGGATAGGGATGGATGGGGAAGGAGATAAAATATGAATGCCTAAGAAGGAAATCTTACCCTAACAAAAATCAGTGGTATATATATATATAGATACGATCATCACCTTTTGTAGAGCATTGGCAGTTTTTATTGACTTTTGATGGCTAGATATTACAAGATCAATAACTCCATCATTCTGCTTATTGCAACATACACAGATAATTTCTGCTCCTTGATGTTCAGATTCCAGCATTCATCATTTTTCACCTTTTTGTTTAAAGTGGGAGCAGAAACATCAAAATAGCACAACCACCTGAATGTGCTTATGCTTTACTGATATCACGGTTGCATAATTACATAATTTATTTATTGTGGATAAATAATTTATGTCTCTTTTAAATTAAAGTTGAAATAAACATTGACCAAATTCTTGCACGTGACTTTTCAAATACTTTTAAAGGGTTTTAAAGGGTCTTCAGATAAATTAAACATTTGAGATTTGGTATACATTGCTTGAGTCCAGACACCAACTGGATGAAAAGTAAGATTTGATTTAGATCTCACTCTTTGGATTAGACACCAAGGACTATAAATGAATTTAACAGAAAGATTTACAGGAAATTTGTCAGATTCAAGTAAAATATTTTTCAGATGCAAATCATAAGTATCTCTCTGGAGGGTTAAAAGGATAAAAAACAATGCTCACCTAGAGATAGTAACTAATGTGAAGTTGAAAAACGTGACCCGATATCTCACATGACTTTAGTAAATCTTTGACATTATAGAATACATGTTTGTGATCTTGGAGATAAGCAAATCTTAGCATTCATTTGAGAGACAATCTGATGCTTGCTTCCTGCATTTACAATTCAGCTCATGATCGTAGGTATAATTGATAAAGCAAAGCAATCAGTCAGATAAAGATTAATTACCTCCTGCAGCGAATGCAGATACGCACTTCTAAAGAGCACTGAAAAATATTTTAGTTTAGTCAATCAATTGTGCTTTGTAAACATTTCATTCTGTTGTAATATTTGGATCAAAATATTTTTTTGTTAAATTATAGGTGCCATCAATGTCTCATAACACTCTGACCTTCAAAAAATGAAACTGATTCAGCAAAACCTATTTGCACATTAATATCCTTTCAACAACCGACAAAAACTCAAAATAGGTTATTCTCACATTAGATAAGTCATTGGCTAGATGACATTTGAGGACTGTGTGCAGTTTGGGCATTTTACTTTCAAAACATTAAATACGATTTAGAGCTCAAAGTCATGAGAAGAGCTGAACTTAATGGAATAAAGGATGGAGGGACTACATTAACAAGCTTGTTAAATCAAGAGAGATGTAGGTAAGATAGATGTAATCAGATATACATTTCAAAAGATCATAAGATTGATGTAGATGAACAGGACCCTTCAGCCCACTTGATCTCATCCTTCCAGAAAAAAAAACACCTTACCGTCCTCCCATTACAGCATCAAGCTGTTTGTTAAATTAATCCAGTGATCTGACCTCAATCACACAGTTAACACTTTTCTGTCATGAATGGATCCCTGGGAAAAGAAATACTTCCTGGTGTCTGCCCTGAAACTACCCTTTGCAAATTGATTTAGTTAATAAATGCAAGTTATTAGCTAAAGTTGAGAGTGGGATGACATTCTCAAAAGGGAAAGGCAATTGATCAGGTTTAATAGTAGAGATGTGTGGAATGGGGATGGATTAATATTTTAGAGTTTTGCTTGATTACATATGACGATCAAAATCATCTATTCAGAACTTTCTCTAGTGAAATGTGGCAAAGGTAAAGGCTATGAAAGAGTAGATTTTGCACAGCTTCGTGGAAAGAATGGTCTGTTTCTGTGCATTACGTCCATAATTTTACATTGAAATTGAGTCAAATGCAGAATATTTGAAATTGAACATTGAGCAACATTGAAACAACATCACTTTCCAAAAAGTATTGATTAGCAGACTCTTAAAATCTCCTATTATAGTAATTTAAGTTTGCTCCAAAAAAAACTGATGCACTTTGTCATGCTACTCCCAGATTTTACTGTTACAGCTTTTATAGCCATGTTAACACCATATAAATCAAAATATTTTGGAGCTTTCCTTTGATAATTAACTAAACCGCTAATTTTCAGTCTATTTATAACTACAGCAATTAAAAGAGGTGTGCCTACACTCATTTGATCAACCAAGGAAGTATTTTGTCAATTTAAAATTCCGAAGCACATTAAATGTTTTTTTCTAGCCCTTCATTTAATTGAAACAATTATAAATTCAGCTCAGGGAGGGAACTGCCTCACTACCACATAATTGGAATCTACACGTTGAAACAATTAGCTATAATGGTGGTTTACAGCTCTCATGGGCTCACACAAACTTATTTAAAAAATGTTTTTGCACTTTGTGTTGGAAATAGTTTGAGTAATTTAAACCCAAGTTGTAATAGTAAACTTTATAAACACTTCAACATGTGAAACGTGAGCAGAGCAGGCTTCGTAGAAGAGGAGCAGGACCAGGGTGAGCACGTTCCAGAGCCGATTCGAGGCTAGCGAGTGAGAAGGAAACAGGAGCGGCCGGGCAAATATGAGCGCGTTGTTCC